CCTTTTACTTTTTCTTAAAAATGCTGGCAGAGCTCAAAATTGGCACCAAATATCAAATATCTCCACCCAGCCAACCAAACCACTGGAACTGGAGCTGAACTGGGGGAGGCCTCCTAGGGTGCATCCAGAAGTGAAACTTTTCCTGATTCTGGCTTCGACTTGGAAGCCCAAGGCTCCACAGCTCACCTACCCCTATTTCTCAGTGCTTTCAGTCTTTGCAAGTAGACATTGTCTGGAAAATTGTATTGGTTGTTGAGGTTGACTTTTGCGTTCATTCGGAGATGGTTCCATGCCTCTGGGTCCTGCAGCAAGATGGCCCCCTAGCTGCTGACAGAGCGGTCCTGAGCTGCCATACCCACTGCTGGAATGGGTCTTCCTCTGCTAGTAGCCATATGGCTTTTTTTTTTCTTACTCCTCTCATAGCACTCCCTACCCCAGGGTCACCCTGACCTCTGGCCGGAATTACAGATATGGCCTTACCTGGTTTTCTTCCTTTTAGTCTTCCCTCCTCCATTATCCCCACTGAAATGATCTTTCCGTAACTCAAATCTGATTATTCAGTGTCCTGTTTAATACTTAATTGTGGCTTCCTATTATCTTCTAGGTATAGTCTAACCCTCTTAACCTGGTGCACCTGGGCCTTCGTGATCTGGGCCCTGCCTTTTGTCTGGATCATCTTGAGACAACTCCACTAACATCCTCTCTGCACTGGCAGCTTAGTCTATCTGTGTAGCCTAACTAAACTACTTTTAGGATTTGGCTATTTTCTATCATTTTGGGGGTCTTTGTCAATGCTGTTCCTTTTGCTTGCTTTTCCCTGCACATTTTGTATCATTGCCTCTAAAACTTGAGTGTGCTTCGTATCACCCAGGAGGCTTATTAAACCACAGATTCATGGGTTCCATTGCCAGACTTTGTGATTCACTAGGTGTAGTTCTGATGTGGGTTGTCCGGGGGCCACACTTTGAATAGCAAAGCTCTAGAGCACCCTATCTTACCACACAGCATGCACTTCGCTGTTTTGAGATTGTCTTTTCCCCTAATCGGACTCTACGCTTCCTGGGGGGAAGAATCTGTTTGCCCATCAGTGTATCCCTAGTGACCAGTGTCTGGGATATTATTGGTGTTCAGTAAGTATCTGTGAATGAATGAATGAGTGGGTCACTGTTTATGCAGCAAAGTTCAGATCATGTTGCTTCTTGTAGTGGATCAGCTTTCTTTTGGAATATTTCAGCCGAAGGATATGTGGAATGTGATCTACCCCTTCCATATGCCGTTACCTGTCCTTGAAATACTCACCTAATGGATATGGAACTTGAGAACTCCCCATAGAGATCAGACCATGGGTGAAGTACAGGAAGATGGATAGGGACTTCTTTTGATCTCAAACTTTACATTATGAAATGGACTCACAGGTTTTCTTTCATTAAGCACAACATAGGGTAGTGTTTCTGCATTTCTTTCAATATAAGGCATACTCCTGAACTTACTAGAGTCCGTCAAAAAAGTGGACCTCACCTCTCTCGGAATGTTCTAAATGTAGAATTTCAGTGCAGGCTCCTTGTCAGCACGCTTATATGACATTCCAGCTCCCAGGAACTGCATTATGGAATTCTGACCGAGTTGTATGAAACAATCATAATGACATACCCAACCATGTATCATCATAGGATGTTTTATGGTGAACATTTTCTGCAATTAAAAAATTAGTTTCTCTCACTAAAAAAAAAAAAGTGGACCTCACGCTACTTTTTAGCATCCGTGATGTGCCTGCTAGGGACTGTATGCGGGATAAAGGAATGTATGATACAGTTCTAGCCCTCCGAGTTGAAACCTGAGTGAAGGTAGCCAAGAACACAAAATGTTCAAACTGTAATACTTATAATACAATTCATATTTTTTAAGGTGCTCAAATCACTTGTTAAGTCGATTAAAAACAGGCAGTGAGAAGCAGGGGGAAAGAGATGGGCAGGTTAACATGTTTAGTGCAAGCCCATAGAAGGGCCGCGCTATGCGTGGGTGACACAATGCTCATATGTCCTCTTTCGTTGTCGTAAGGCCTTTTTGGTTTTAAGGAGCAGGGACTATCCTTGCCAGCTTAAGTTTTCTTAAAAAGGAGGTGATCGGTGTTCTCGTGGGAATCCAAAAAATGAGAGACCAGTGGCCCTGTGGTCCTGAGAAGCAGTTCTTGGTTGTTCATGCCAGTGCTGCCATCAGCAGGCCCTTGCCCTAGTTGCCTTGAGTGTGCTCCACTGTCCACTTATTCTGCTACCAACAGCCATCATCAGTCCCTACTCTTTCTAGCACTCTCTCTGCCACAGGTTCTGCTATGCTTGATTCTGGCTCTCTCATGACTTTAAGTCTCATCTGGTCCTCACTCTACACCATGGCCCATACATTTACAGAGAGGCATCTTTTCAGGGTTTGCTCTCTCTGCTTGTTGATCTTCATGTTCACATCCCCAAGAATGAGCATCTGGCCCAAGTTGTTCTTGCTAGAGAAGAGCTTTCTATGCCAGAGCATCCCAGAGGCCAGCAGCTGTGTCCCTCTGTCCCCCAACTCAGGTGAGACGAGGGGTGAAGTAGGTCATGTAGCTCACAGGTGGCTGCCAGGCCCACCTTTGTAGCAGAGCTGGGAAATGGCAGTGCTCTCTGCAGTGGCTGTGGGCTCGGCAGGTACATTGGTGAGCCCTTCAGGCAGTGGGGCTTGAGGATGGGCAGGATTTGAGCAGGCTGGGGTCAGAGGGAGGGTGTTCTGGGACAGAGGCACACATCTGACCCATAAAGTGTGAGCATGTGGGCAACCAGAAACCTGCTGAAAGTAAGCGAGGAGGAGGCTGGATTGTAACAGTCCTGAAGGTCAGGTGGAGAAGGCGGATTTTGTTATTAGGCAATAGGTCATCCTGTAAGCTTTTAAATAGAGGAATCAATCCATTTCTCCTGTCCATTCCGGATTCCTGCT